TTCTTCCTTCTTGTAGTTATGTTTATTGGTGCACTAACTCACTTATTGTTCCTTCTTCCTTCTTGTAGTTATGTTTATTGGTGCACTAACTCATTTACTGTCCCTTCTTCCTTCTTGTAGTTATGTTTATTGGTGGACTAACTCATTTATTGTTCCTTATTCCTTCTTGTAGTTATGTTTATTGGTGTACTAACTCACTTATTGTTCCCTCTTCCTTCTTGTAGTTATGTTTATTGGCGTACTAACTCACTTATTTTTCCTTCTTGTAATTTTATAATACTGATTAATTTACTCATTACATTAACACAGTTTGTACCTTCGCGAGATAACATTTGTAGTGTGCAATTATTAAATATTTTAAATTTCTTTATTTAAGTAAACTTATAAAACCCTTAGAAGTAAGAACATTTATTCAAAACTAATAGTGTTTGGGCTTTTCTTTTTCTGGAAAAATACATAAAAGCAAATATAAGACACTTGATCAAAAATCCATATTGAGATTACATCACTAAAACTGCATATCTGTTTAACGTTAAAAGTTATTGCGTATAGGTTTCTATTAACCCGCTGTTTATGGTATAAACTTTCCTAATTTTATTATCAATTATCAGATTGTACAATTTGTTTGAAATTTATTAGGTTTCGTCAAAATTCTATCGACGTTGCTGGTGTTAGCAAGAATCGTGGAATATGAAAGAGGAATTACTAGTCACGTATTTAGATAACGTTAATTTTTATAATCACAAATATTTTGCTTTGTCAATTTAATAGAATGATGGTCGTTATTACAGCGTTATCACTTTTAGAACACAGTTAATCGATGATCATCTCGTTCCTACTTCTAAATCTTATTTATATGTAATTCACATTTGGGATGTTTTGAAACTACCAAGAAAAACTTAGAAAAGGTATTGTAAAAATGTAAAATTGAGGTGTATTTTGAGTAATTCCGGCCATCAGTACCTTGAGTGAAATGTTGATGTGGCATACCGTCCTATGAGAACGTGTATTTTGTGATAAGTGGAAAAATAAGAACAAGTTGAATTCGAACTCATTAACTTGCTTTCCGGAGAGGTGGTCTCACTAAAATATCAAAATCGAATCCCAATCCTCTCGGTTCTTCGATAATTGGTTTATTAATACAAAATTTAGCAGTATTCTCAAGCTGTGTTATCAGCCTTTCAAGGTCAGAAAACGTTAATTTTACATCATAAAGAGTAATTAAAGTTAACAAAGTTCTATATAACTCGTTAAAATAATTTTAGCACTTTTATTCAAAGAAAATGAAATTTGTTTAACCACATGTAATTTATTTTCTTCTGGAGTCCGAATGGCCTACAGGAAGTTATATCATTGTTTATTCGTTCTTTTCCCGAAACTCTTTGCTACTAAAATTAGGAGAAAATAAAAGTTATTGTTGTTGTTCTTCCAGAATGTTATAAAATTTGAACTTTCTTTTTAACGTTAATTTTATATACTGTTTCTTAATCTAAGGGATCGTAATTGTGAAAATAAAATAAAAATAACGAAATATTTATGTTATTATGAACCACTGAACTGTATATTTTCTTGTGTTATAGAGAACTATTTAAGTTTATTTATTATGAAAATTTAAACTCATTGATTGTTAATTGATTATGTTGAGATAATTGTCAGGGAAAGAACAATGATAATTGAAAAGTTTGGGTAACTGAGCCTTCATGACAGCATATCACAATAAATAAAATAACATCACCTAATAAAAATACACATAATGTGATTAAAAATTTCCACATACACTATCATAACAGAACTAATCTAAAGTCAAATGTCAAAAATTATGTCTGCCATGTATTTTTTTTCATACAAGTTACAGTTCATCTCTATCCTGGAAAATCTGTTATTTAAAAAAGTAATTTTATAAATTCAACAGCGCAAATATTGCTATTGAATATCAATATCGATTTAATCAATTCAGTAACAAAAATGCGAGACATCTTTTCCATGTACAATATTGTATTTATATATATTTAGTACATGTGGCAATATAAAATTCCCTTTATATATATATATATATATTTGGCACTTGAAACTTATATTGTTTTAGGATTTCTGTCTCATTTGTATTTCTGTAGGATTTAATGTTATATTCCGAAACTCTAAAATTTTTTCATCACAGATGTTTCTTAAGAATTGAGAGTTTTAAATGAACCTATTTTATTGTACTTTTTTCTCGTTCTTTCTGAATTATATTTAACAGTGTTTGTTTTTGCTCATTGTTCCTTAATCCAATCTATTAATATATAGATATGTATGTGTAAAATATGCATTCGTTTATGGAACTTACCCAAAAGATGAATTCATTGAGATATGAGAAACACTGTTTTATCATGAATGGAATGATGGTACCAGTAAGTATATTTTATACATTCAACTAGTTTATTTGTCACTAAAATCTCTGGATACAGATATCAAAGCTGAACTAACACATAACTTGAGCATAGTTTGTTCCATTTACCTGCACTGAATCGACCTTCAGAAACTTTCACTCACTCTCTAAGTTTATCGTTGAGAGAAAAAATACCAATAGGGAAATTCTTAAATGGAATGGAAATTAAAACCACAGAATTTATCTTCAAGATATTTGTACTTGTTCATATTCAAATAGTTTCATTCATTCATCTAGTAAAGAAGTAATTCGTAAGACATTAATTCACTTTCAAATAGTTTCATTCATTCATCTAGTAAAGAAGTAATTCGTAAGACATTAATTCACTTTCAAATAGTTTCATTCATTCATCTAGTAAAGACGTAATTCGTAAGACATTAATTCATTTTCAAATAGTTTCATTTATTCACCTTGTAAAGACGTAATTCGTAGAACGTAATTCATTTACAAGTAGTTTAATTTATTCATTTAGTAAAGACGAAATTAATTTCCAAATAGTTTTATTTATTCATCTAGTAAATATATAATTCGGTCCTTTACTATCTCATAATGTAACTACCAAAGAGTAAAACAAACTTTAGCCTCTCTTTTCTGGAAAATCTTTGAAGCAAATTATAATCCTCCCAAATCATGAATAATCACGTGACTTTTAATATTTTCAACATAAAGACTTGTGCTCAACTATGCGTTAGGTCAATAGGCTGTTCCTTGTCCAGAATGATGAAAATTAATAAAACTCATTGAAAAGCCAGTACATAAAATTAGATCTTACAGGATACGCAAGTACTGCTCTTTGATGAACAGTCCAAGAAAATATTTCTTAATGCGTCTCGTTAGTTTAATTGTATTTTATCACTTGTTAATATCTCTTCATCGTTATTTAAAACTTAATAATCATCACTCATTTTTTATTACAGTATTGCTAATTATTAGTACCATCTTTATTTAACAGTATTGTATTTATCAAAAGGATTAAATAAATATATTTATTTCATAAAACTGTAATAAACCAGTTGATCTAGAAGGATTGTTGCAAGTGTGTCATTTGCTTTCTTGGTCCACAAATATCAGACACAAGAACAAATTCATGACGAAACTATTTTGCGTGAAAATAGATTATTATTTAGGTTTTGTTATATATTAGATTTTACTTATCATACCACTTTACTGAAGAGCGTGTTAATCAGGATGACCTGAAAAAAAAATATAAACCCATGAAAAGGTAATGGTTTCATTCTCAGTGGCATATGTTTGATTTTGTGACATGTGGATGCAATGTTTTTCTTCCCCACTTTCTCCTGTTAGTTAAAATATTGTTATTTAGAAGGGTGCGGATTGACCATATGATAGATTTCGAAACTGGCGACTCACCGTGTTCGAATCCGTGTGATACAACAAAATATTCCATGTATTTGAAATTGTGGGTCGCTATAAGAGTAACAGTCAATCCCTTAGCAGGGATGATGGGTGGTAGGATGCTGTTTAATGGCTGCCTTCCTTCTGGTCAGGAGTTCAAAATTAGGGGAGGAGGCAGACAGTCGTAAGCTTTGTCATAAATACAAATGCGTTATCTATTTAACCTAATGTATACAAAAGCCAGCTGCCTTTTGTTAACTGTCCGTTCGTCTGTGTCGCTTAGCAACAAAACTGTATATATATATTACATTCGAACTTAAACACTCAGAAAACCATCTTAATTGTGTAGGTACATCAGTTTACAAGGGGAAAACTATTTTAACTACATAGGGTTTGTGAAATCTTCCACTCACCACACAGCCTCTTGAATAAGACAATTTCATGTAGTAAATAAATCAGGTACATTTCAATAATTTCTGCTGGGGCGTTATACGACAAGGTTTGGGTGAAAATACTATGTTAGTGAGGCCTTGGACTCCTACTTCCTACAGTTACTACCCTCACAAAAATGTTTTTAAATTGATTTTTTTTTGGGGGGGGGGGTATTTTTTAAGAATATGTTTTCTTCTGCTAATAGATATAAATATCATAATATCACTGGTTCAACAGTCGTGAAAGTAACTAAAAGATGCCACTGGGATTTTTGACACTGAGTTTTAGTCTCTACATACACGACATTGAAAAATAATTATCAAATAATCTATGGTATACTTTTTACTTTTACATAATATCCACACAGCTTTAAAAGTCTTTATGTGGTTTTAAACTTGTCGAAATATTTTGGTTCTTATTTATACGTAAGTATAAATCTGATTTTATTTTTCTTTGACAACTTTATTCCACATTTAAAAAGTGTAAATTGCACGAGATATTTGTGTTCTATGTAATATATTTTACAGCTATCCAATTTTTGTAGGATCATTTAAATTGCACTTTTTTCTGTGTTACGAGAATTTCATGTAGACCTTTGAATCCTGTTTTAGACTTTAACAATGTTCTATTATCTATTTCAATGTTCTAAGTACTACTTGTAGAACTGAGATTATATCATATCAAAACATGTCGTGTATATCAAGTAAAATAAAAAAGGCGTATTATTTTATTATTTGCTCGTATTTTCAGTTTCGGCCATTTTTTTGAGAAATATACACGTTTAGAGATATATTTTAAAAATAATCGTCGTTTAGTGAAAGCGATATTCTTTATGATAAAATTAAATAAATAAAATATCATAAATAGCAGGAACAAGTTTATCTCAAACACGAAGAAAATAATTTAATGGTATATAACGTCCAAGCTAATTAATGTTGACATTTTATAGACCAATAGGTGTGATGCTATATCACAGCAAGTTTGGTGATATTTTAACACCACATAGTTCTTTACTGGTCCAATAGGAGACAACAATAGCTGATGAACTCCACTACTATGGCAACGAATCGTCGATAGTAGAGTACGAGAGGAAAAGTTTTCGTTTTCTCTTCTGAATATTCGTCCAAGCTACAAAAGGGTTATCTGTGGATAACCGTCCTTAGCTGGTAGAAATGTAGCACTGTAGAGCGAACACTATTCACGTGGTCGTTTAGATACATTCTGGGTGCTCTTTAAAATAAATCCATATAAGAACGTTCTTTACACCAATTACACCGCTACCTGCTAGTAACAACTTATTCTGTCACAACACATACCTCGTGAGAGACTCTTGTGGCTTTCACCATGATAATTTTTAACAGCTTTCACAATTTATAGCTATAAATAGTTGAACATCTAAGGAGGGGCTTGTGCGACAACCAGGGGCGTTCAGAAACTGTGGGTTTTTCTTCAGCCTTTTAGAGAGTGGTCCGTAACATATGGGATTTCTCAATAATTTACCTAGCCAAGTTTGAAATATACGTTTGACGTATTATTTAATTTAATTTTTGTTGGTTGTAGTTAAGCATAAAGCTACACAACGGGCTGTCTGTGCTGTGTCCACAACGGGCACCGAAACCCGATTTTTAGCGTTAAAACTCTGCAGACTCACAACTGTGCCACTTTGGAGCTAATTTATTTTTATCTGAATTTTGTATTTATAAACTCATATAATGATGTATGTAATTTAGAATATAAATTATTCTTATCGAGCAAATGCAAAATTATAATAATAGAGCTCAATACATTTAACTCAATAATTGGTATAATCGAGCACACGGAAGGAACATGTTCTAATTATTCAATGCAGCGGTTGATAAAGTGATAATCTCTGTAAAACTATTAACAAGAACAGCATTATTATTAAAAATAAATTATATACATTTCTGCTTCCTCCAAACCCACGTGTCATATTTTAAAACCAATAAAGTGGATCTTACGAAGTTAAAGATAAAAATATCAGAAACAGTTTAGAAATGAATTTCGATCAGTTATTAGAATAGAGCTATTTATTACTCGAGTGTTGGTTATTTTAGACGACAATATTAGATCGAAACTTCACTATATTTGTTGAAAATGACGAAAATTCCTGATGCTTTGGACTACAGAGTAATCTGAAATAATTTTTACTAATATTGAGTAATTATCTGAGTGTGTTTTATATGAAGTGAGATAACAGACAATAAGAATATCAACTTTTTTTAATTTTGGTTTTCAACAGTTGCTGTTTGACACGTGCACCTTTAGCTATGTTAATAGCTTCAGGATGAACGTCAGAATTTATAGTCACTTGTCATATCTACCTTATAATATACTTTTAAAGAGATCTGATGCTTGAAGTAGGCATCGCGGTCATAAAAAGAGTAATATGCGCTTGCTGGTGAAGCCTGATAAATTTTATTGATTATTAAAGTCTGAAAATATTTTTTCAGAAGTACAGATCATCGATCCAAACGATATATGTTTGTGAAGAAATCTGCTATTTCAATTTAAGTTTTTGTTTTACTACTTGAGCTATGTAATTTAAAATTCTTATATGAACAGAAAGGTGAAAATAAGAAATATATATTTTGAACTTACAGATGCAATTTGGCTAAAATCGCAAAATAACATGATTATTATACATTTTAAATTGACGAGCTAATAAAAGAGAAGCGCATATATTCAACGAGTGTTTTGAAATCGGCTTGGCGGTGATAAGCATACATTTTTGCGGCGAATATTTTACGCCAATATGAAATAAAAATAGCTTAATAACACTTTTTTAGGGATGTTGGTCATTGTTGCCATAAACTGTAAAATTTTATCTCATGTTTCAATGTAGGTTGAACGGAATATATATCTTGGGAGTGGGGAGTTGAGGGGGTGTCCTAGCAACATATGAAGTCAGACCTTGTATTTGGTGAAGGTTGTAGATGATAATTTCTGGCTAGGAATAGCTTCGGGACTATTATACACATGTTGTTGAAACTTAGCAATAAGGCTAATAATTTACTTTTTTTTTACTGATTACATGCACCTATCCACAATAGATACAATCATATCTTATATGATGAAATTACTTATCCGATAATTGAAATATGGAACAGTATGAAACATTTAAATTATTAAAGACAGTATGGATCCAAAATAAGACGACCATTATTCCATCGTCTAGCCTACGTTTTGCGCTACAACCGTTCATTATACATTCTCCAGATATTATATTTATAAATCATTATATTTTCTCTCGGAAGTGTTATTCTCTACGAACATGTGGCATTATTGCCAGAAGAATGACAACTTGAAGAAAACCAAAACATATTAATCTTTAATTCAGTTAAACTCTGGATACACTCTAGTCAGAAGTAAAGAATACAAAACGATGTTTTTCCTACTCACAAACTGTTCTGATGTAAGTAGTTCCTACGAGTCTTAGAAAAGCTATATATATATAAATACACACACAGTACGTGTACGTATAAATACTAAATTGTAATAATTTTATTCGTCAACCAGGCGAAAATGGCAAGAGTGAAGTGGTTTACATAAAATATTATACATACTCATAACATTAGGATGTATGTTAAATATAATGTCTTTCAAGCGCGTGATTTTGAGTGAAACATAACATCTCAAACCATTGTTTAATATCATTCGGTTTCGCCATTTATGACATTAACAAGGAATTAAATGCAAATTGTAAAAAGAAACGTATTTCCTTACCCAGTTGAAATCATCTATTATATAAATACTGATTAATTTTCTTAGTTTTAAACTTTAATATAATACACATGTGAATATTATTATTAAGTTTTTAGAGCAGTATGAAGAGCAAGCCAACGCTCATAAGCTGTTTGTTAGTGAAATTGATGTTCGTATCAAAGAACAAATTGACCACTGTCTAGTTCTAATAAAGGAGACTACAGATATAGTCCATTCTAGAAGCAAACTCCAAAAGTGGCTAAGTTCTGGAACAACTGTAATCTATTTTAGGGGTAGTATTCACTAAAAATGTCTTAGTGCTAGGAGAAACCTTACTTCTGAAAGAGACGCCAAACTGAAATAATCCTTCGTGGGCGGATTTCAAAAATACTTTAATTCTGGAAAAACTCCAAAAGTGGCTAAGTTCTGAAACAACTTTAATCTATTTCAGGAGTAATAGTCACTAAAAGTGCCTTAGTGCTGGGAGAAACCTTACTTCTGAAGGAGACGCCAAACTGAAATAATCCTTCGTGGTCGGATTTCAAAAATACTTTAATTCTGGAAAAACTCCAAAAGTGGCTAAGTTCTGGAACAACTTTAATCTACTTCAGATATGCTGGGAGAAACCTTATTTTAGAGGCAAATCTGAATCTTTCTTTGTTCTTGAACGGTCGTAAAAACTACATAAACAGGTTCCAAAGGTATTTATACTTTACTGCTTGAATACCATAAAACAAACCCCTAAAGTGCTTGGAACGATAATAGATTTGGAGCTGGAGATATATAATATATTCTAGAGTGTTTTTACAACTTAGCCCAATTGGCAGATTATTTTCATTTTTTCTCATCATTCACAAACAAAACTTTCCAACATCTTTATAATAACGTAGAGAGGAAAAGGGTATTGTTATTTAAGATGTCATGAACTTATCTTCAATTACAATAACGAATTGTAACAGTGGATTGCCATTTGTAGGTAACTCTGTAGTTCGATTTCGTACATGTTGTTCGGGTTTCAGTTTCAATTAAAACTTTATTGCCATCTTCTCTACTTATTTATCAATGTTTTTCAAAAATGGTTGACCAGAAGTGAATTTAGCTTTTTTTCTGGCACATGTCTTTTGAGATAACTTCATACATGAATTAGCTATTCGATAAACATTGCGAGTACACGGGCACGTGATAGTCTCGCCTTAAATATTTCGGATTCCAACACAAATTTTGAATTGAATCCCAAGCTTTTGTGTAGATTTTTTCATATATTTTATTTCTATAGAACAGGAAATAGGTCATAGCCTCCACTTGTCATAACATTACCACAACTGGTAAGAGAGGTATGTAAAAATAGTAATTTCCTAAAATCGTAAAATTTTCCATGCAATTCCAGGCAAAACGTTTGTACTAGAGACATTTAACCGACCAATAAGAAATCATTTTGGGTTCAACATTATAATAATAAACTTATATAATAGAATGATATATTTTAATAACTATCATGAGAAATGTGGTTACGAATAGCTTTAAGGTGGGCGTATATATATATATATAACACATTTAATATTTTGAAATTATTTTCATTTGCACACTTGTATTTTCCTTTGACAGATGTGGAAAGCTGGAAATTGAGAATATAATATCACAAAAATTTTAAGAGTAAAAAAGTACTAGTGTAATATTATTAGAATTGGTTGTTGAGTGATAGCGGAAAGAACAACCACTGTAATGTAAAATAGAAGTTGAATACATGGGTATCTAAGTATGAGTTATGATGATATCTTATAGAAAAGATATGTTGCTTTAAATTGTTATAATATAGGTATTCAAAGATTACTGATGAATACTTAACAAAGAATAACGGAAATACGTATGTATTCCAGCAAAGAATCTGTGTTAGTGAAATTTTGTGAAAATTCCTATGTTGCTAAGACAGTCCACTCAATTCGAAAAGTGTAATCAGACAAGCCGCAGCGTTCCAAGTGGCAGGTTTGATAAAAAAGCAGCTGTGCTACTGATCGTCGTCAATCTCACCGAATGCCTTAGCAATTGACACCTCCCCCGATCTCTACCTACCTGACGAACCTTTCTGTGTCTTCCGCCCACTCACCAACGACACCGACACCGAGGACCCCACGCCTTTACCACCTGCCTGGAACCGGATACTGTTCCACAATAAAACCATGTTGAACATCAGGAGACTCCACAACTCATTCAAAAGCTAATCAACCCCCACGAACTGGACTTCACTTTGCCTTCCACACTTACTTCTTCTCGCTAACCGGACACTAGTAACGAATTGGTCGTTACCAGTGAAAGTGGGTTTTCTCGGGGTACACCCGTTTCCCCCCATATTAAATTCTCGGCATAGGATTTTTAGCTCCCCGCCACCCTGATGGACCAACAGTCCGATATCGGCCATTTTAGTTTAGTCTACTTT